CATATGAACATTTGGTTATTTCCAAGAAAAAAACACCTAAATTCTTCAAGGACATACATTTTATCCAGATTAACTCAGAACAGGTCTCCTGTTGACGGCATGAAGGAGGTTGATTGAATCTCTCATGACCTCCACCCTTGTCTAGAGTCGGGAGGAAATTGCTTTCTGTCATCCTCAATCTTAATTTAACTCCAGCTTACAGACTGGTACAAGACCTCTAAGCAATACCTCCTATTTAGGCAGAGGAAAGGCAAACTAAAAATATTTTATCTCACAAATAGACCAAGGAATAAAAAGCTTCCACCTCATAAAACGTTGTTGTGTTTACCATCTGATGTTAATTTATTCGCTCACAGCTATAAAGAGCTTCTAACTGAGCAGACAGGAAGGGAGAAGAAGAACCAAATCATGCTTTCCTTTTCCACGTTTCCCAGTTTCTTCCTTGCAATAAAAGAGTGTATAGGAATGTGAAACTAGAACCTGAGGTGCAGCGTACGTAGACTCGTAACATGGCCGCTAAACGCTCATATCAAGAACAGAACACACCAAATCAGATTTTGTGTCTGATCCAACAGAAAATCGTGTCTTAGGCTACATTCACGCTGCAGGCCTTAATGCTCAATTGCGATTTTTTTTTCTCAAATCTGATTTTATAGCAGTGCCGTTCACATTTTCAAATATACGCGACTTGTATGTGATCCCCTGTGAACTGCACTCATACAGCTTAAGTGCCCCGCATGCGCAGTAGAGGACGCAATGATGTCACAGGCCAGCAAGCTCTGTGTTTACGGAAATAAACATGGATGGTAGTGATGGAGCTCGTTTAGCGATCTTTCCCAACCATACAAAACTCTATCTTTTTAAGATGGTTAAACCTAATAGCGTTCAGGTCGGTTGAATGCGTCTTGGCCGTTCAGACACAGGTCGCATTTGAAACGATCAGATTCGTATCGGATTCGGGACCAAAGATGTCGCCGCGGTTCTCTCAACATCGGACATTTTTTTTAAATTCTGCATTAAATCAGTAAATGTTCCATATAGTGAAGCATAAACCTTCACGACAGAAACATTACCAACAAAAACAAACTTCAAACTAGATCTTTACCACCAGGCCTGGAGCAGAGATGGAACCAGAACAACGAGCAGTTAGAAGCTAAGAACTCAATCTCAGGTTTAGTCCCGCCTACCCAGCTGCTGGCTTCCACTGAACGCCACATCTCTGTCCACCTGGTAGGTAAACTTTTTAATGTTTGCCATGAGGCGACTGGCGGTAATGAGCTCAGAGCTCAGAAGCTAAACCCATTGGACGAGTCGGGAGTAGGGGGTCTAGACCCCGGCTCTACTGTAGAGCACCCAGACCGGGATAACCATCAGACACCTACAAACGTCATTTCCATTGCTGAACTGAAGTGACTTTCAGCTCTGAAAGTTTATTAAAACAGATGTTAGAAAATAAAAGCGTGTGAACCTTAAAAAGCCAAATGAGTCTGACGTTCCTGGTAATGAGGTAAACCTCCAGGCTGATGGGGGCGCTCTCATCGTCAGTCCAGAGGGACGCTCACCTGCCTTCTGAAGTACTCTGGGCCCTTGTTGAGGATGCGGAGAGGTACGGCGGAGCTGAAGGTTGCGGTGGGGCCGGCAGACTTGCTACCTGGCAGGGGTGGAGCCAGTGTCTCTGTCGGCATGGCAACGAGGCGACTGGGGTGGCCGGCCGTGGTGGCAGAAGGTGTGGGCTGGTTGACAGAGGGTGGGGTCACTAAGGAACCCCCAAAACATGAAGACACAAGGTGGAGACAAAAACTAAATCTAAAAGGAGCAGAGAGTCCTCAGCCTTCACATGGAAGAGGACGGACAGAGACGAAGAAGAGGACGGACAGAGACGAAGAAGAGGACAGACAGAAGACAGAGACAAAGAAGAGGACGGACAGAGACAAAGAAGAGGACGGACAGAGACGAAGAAGAGGACGGACAGAGACAAAGAGGACGGACAGAGACAAAGAAGAGGACGGACAGAGACGACGAAGAGGACAGACAGAGGACAGAGACGAAGAAGA